CGACTGAGGAAAACCAGTTAGTTCAAGGTTGTATGAGCCAATAACGGCACTCATTTTTTTCATTCCTGGTAATGAAAAGAGAGGCCACCAACATTCTGACGCATCTGCCTTTGACTGGTTCGTTGTCATGTAGAGGTACTGCATCTTGCACCTATCCTTGTGGGAAAATTTGGACCCCAGTGTTGCGAAATTACTATGACTCAAAGCAGCATGGACGCAAAACACTTCAAAGTAATATTTACGCGCAGGTGACGACAGTAGAGAGCATATTGGTGACAAAGGTCTGGCTGACTGTTTGTGGAGTTATGTTTGCCGAACCGGAAAGCGCTACATTCCCCTTGTTTTCCATGGGAACGTCCTTCACCTACAAATGCACAACTAAGTTTTCCCATCTTTTCTGAAATGGACTGCTTCATGTGCCTCAGTTCAGGCTCAACATTCTAGATCCGACTGTGTTTTAAAAGCAAAATCTGGAAGTCGTGAACGAAAATACGTAAACTCAAGGGCAACCAACTTGCTGATGCGGCTGCAAAGGTGTCCGCCACCTCAATATTCTTGATAAGTAGGTTCAAAAACAAAGTCTGCTCTGCGCTGCGTTGACTTCTGCCCAACCTCTCATTGGCCAAGTAGATGGCCTTTCGAAAGGCTGCCTCCTTGCCTGGACTGGGATCCTCCAAAATCACACCTAAAATACGCAGAGAGCGAAAATTTAAGGGTGAACACTCTACACCTGGCCATTTATCAAGAGCAGACCGCTTTCTGTTTTGGGTCATTGCGAGGTCAAATGTCAACTCGATGCTTATTGATGCGATTCAAACCCCTAAACAATAGCGATTGCGATCAAAAGTGGGGTATTACAAAGTCTTTGTACACTAAAAGCTAACAAAAGCGACGTGCGTTAAAGGCGATGACTCTCATCCACCAGAATGTTACTGGTTAGATAAGTTACAACCAATTCTCAAGGAGGCTGAACTCCCAAACTAAAAAATATTAAGCTTGTTATAAGTATGTTTGAATTGAATAAATAAGGCGAAAAGTGCTAGAATTCAAAACCAGCTATCCAAAATACTGAGTGGACGCATTCGCTTTGATCCACTAAAATTGCATTGGTCTCACTTCTATTTTACTCATCTCGGCCTCAACGCAGTGCCTTTATTAAAAAGTTGTCTCAAAAATTTAGGCATGACTAAGTGCGCAACGGACTTATTCGAGTATTCGGCAGTGCTTTTGCAAGTTAAGAAGTGCAACACATTTTTTATTACTCCACGAAGTTGACCAAGATCGGTACAATCATTGGTCGAAACCGTGGTTTCGGGGTTAGAAGGGATGGCTTTTGAAGAGGCATTAGGTTTGGCTATGCCGCCTTCATTTTGCTTTGTATTCTATTTTGTATGCCAAAAGTTGCATAGGATGGTAAATTAAATTACGACTTGAAGAAATTTTAAAACAATGGAAAGAAGAAAGCAGCGTACCAACATTTAGCTGAAGAGCATTTGTGACGGTGATCGCAAAGGTCAGAAACGCGATGGCTAGCATTGTGCCTCCTGAAAGGGAAAGGAGAAGTAATGGAGTTATCCGAAAGTCTGCAGAGTTTAATGCAATGCTCCAGTTACCCGATTACGAATGCTTGTTCATTTGT